ATGTGTATAAATGTGCAAATGTTTCAAGATGGTAGTAAATGTAGTTTTTAACAAAAAGCCTGGATGTACTTAAGACTTTTTAGGGCCATGATTCTAAGATTCAAGTCTTTAAAGACTGTTTAAGACCTCAAGAATTCACTATTTGAGAGAAACTAAGATGGAGCTATTTAAGTCTTTATATAAGGTTCAAATTATAGCAATAAAGATGGCTGTGTTTTTGCTAACTGCCTAGATTACTCCACATTATCTCCATGACAATTTATTTTTTCTTCTTAGACAAATCCTGTACTAATTAGCTTAATGTTTAGACAGTTAAACTATGGTACTGTATAGGTTTTGATTATAAAGGGTAAAAGATGAAAATTTATTTGTGTTCCTTCATATTCTGTCAATTTACTGGTTCTTATGTCATAAGTTTTAAGTTCTGTAATCAAAGTTCTAAGCCCTAAAAACTATAATTATAAATTCCAATCCAGATATTTGCTTTAATATTATTTCACCTGTGATATTTTTGTTTTGCCTTTTAAAACATATTTTAATATACTTTGATGCCTATCCTTTATTCTGTGTGTTGAAGTTTGGGAATTTAAAATTGGCATTCAAAGCCTTCAACAAACCCCTAAAAAAACAAAATTACAAAGTTCTTGGAGGTAATGTACATGTCTGCTCTTATTTAAAGTAGAAAGTGTGTACTTAACTAACTTCAGAAGTTTAATCTGTCATCAGTAAGTTTTATGAGGCTTACTGTACACTGCGCTTTAAGGAGTTTGAAACTAGGTAAGGTATTATAGATCTAATTAGACTGAGGTCACATGTCAGGATTAAAAAAAAGATTTAAAAAAATTACAGATTAAAAAAACCCAATCTAAGTAAAATTAATATTTAAACAGCCAAGCTTTGAATCAAGTTTAAAGGAGCATTTCACAATTTGTAGCGCCTAAAATGAGGTTTGCTCCATTTACAGCAGGTTCCTCTATAAGCACCAGTAGTCAGTTCATTAGAAGGTAATTCAGGTCCTATTTTCTAGTTGTGTATGTGTGTGATGTGGCCTGTTCTCTCATTCACCTGACAGGGCGTACACTGTGCGATTCTCGGGACGATTTTTCAGTCGTGTAAGAATTTTTTGATCGGACCGACTTTCAGCCTGATCGTGCGTCGTTTAGTGTACAGGGGGTTATGAGGGGTGATCAGCCTCTCACGACCACCCCCTGCTCAGGAATTGTGAGGTTGGGAGAAAATCAAACATGTTTGATTTTCTCCCAACCGTCGTTTGCAAATCAGTGGGGATGCAGGAACAAGGATTCTTCTTTTTCTTCTTTCTCTCAAATGTAAGCACAGAAGCATGGCGGGGAAGCAATAAGTGAAATTTAGTTTTTTTTCTTTAAAATTGACAGACCTGACAGCCACGTCTTTGTCCAAATACGTCATCTCCTTTTCTTTTTAGGGCTTTCAGCACAAAATTGCACAAATTGCCAAGGCAGCGCGTTTCGCTTTAGTGAGCTTCATATTCCCCTTCTACTTGTTTGGCTTCCGGATAGACGAGTCAGAGCAGCGCCATCTCACTGCGGAGCTGAGTCCGAAGTGGTTTTTAGAGGTACAGTGTGAGCAGGTAGATCACATCAGAGCATTGGGCCGAACATAAATCGGGAGCTTTGAACTCACACTGTACCACAAAACCGCAGGGTATCGTGGTACAGTTTGAGCAGTAGCTCCACGCAACAATTGAAAAAAATCGCAGTGTACGCATGGCTTAAGTGACTGTTTTTCAAGATGGTTCACAAAAGACGAGTCATACTGTGAGTGCCCCTCAAAGCCCATCACAGTTAAGTTCAAAATAACTTCAATATTTCTAACTGTTTATACCTCAAAAGACATTCCTCTAAACAAAAGATAACAAGTACAGTGGTAAATACTTTTCCTCCTCTCCTATCCAAGTATACTGCTCTGGTGTCATTTCAACTTGTCACCAGAAGGGGTAAACTTCTGTAAAACATTCTGGAATTTACACTATACCCCAATAACATACATTTTCTGTTGTATTCATTTGTTCTGTTGTTTTAATAAAATAGGTCTAAAGTCTAAATTAGGGCTAAAACAATCAGATTAATCATGATTAATCGATTATTGAAATAATCATCAACTCATTTAGTAATCGATTAATCGTTAACTGGAGTATAGAGACTGTAAAATATGTATCTAGCTGACAAAGCAGCCCACTTAGAGCAGTAAATATACCAAGATTGTGAAATCAATATGTACAGTAAGCATTTTGCATTCAAGATTAAGAAAAAAAATCATCTGTCAATATGCTCTATCCAGAACTCCTCAAGAGGAAAAGCTTTAGTTTCACTTGGTTTAGTTTCATAAAAAATTCTTCTTTAAGAAACCTTTGGTTATCCGATTATCAATTGAAAAAACAATCGACAGATTAATCGATTTGTGAAAATAATCGTTAGTTGAAGCCCTAGACTGAATGTATTTCAAGTGTAAAATTTACAAATTGGTGTTACATGAAGAAACTGCCTTTTGTTGGATCCTGTCTTTGTACCGACCATTAGAAACTTACTGTAAACTCCCATATCCTCACTGATAAAGAGTTTTTTTTTTTTTTTTCAAGAAACAGCACCAAATTTTCCATTTTGGGCAAATGTCCAAGTTAACTAAAGGTAAAAATAAACCATACTCATTTAGGCCTGTCAGTCCACTCTGTTACCTTCTAACCACCTTTGACACCCTTCATTGGTTGTGGAACACAGGGTGTAGTAGTGCTTGTCTGAGAGCATATGAGCAACCACAACACTTTTCACTCAGTGTTTCCAATTTGAACAGTTGAGGGACAGTCTGTCCATCTCCAGTCAACTCTTGGAATTGTTATTGTAGATAAGAGTGACTCTTCCTCCCCACAACCAGAATTATATTACCCTACATCAAAGCTACATCTTAACAACCAGTTGTTGATCATTTAAACACTGCTGCAAAAGCTTCCTAATGAACTTAATCTTTTAATCTGATTAGAGCAATTTTCAAGTTGTCATAAACTTATTAAAGTCTCCTGTTATCGGTTTTCTTTAGCATCACACTCCTGACAGTCATATCTGGTCATGCGCGTTTATATAATAAAAAAAAAAAAACACATGACAATTGAACAGCCAGTTAAGCATGAAGGTCTGGAAGTCTTTTGAGAGTGCACTAGCTAGTGAGCTGCTCTTCAACATCTACAAGTCTACTCATACACAAAAATCAAACACTGTAAGTGACTAAAAGACTAGAGAACAGCAGATTACATCCTACAGCTTCAAGGCAGAAAGTGATATTCAGTCACCATGCAGCCTAACCACATAGACAAAACTATACGACCACTGTAGCTGATCTACATTTCAGAAAAATGTGCTGAGTGTTTTTTCACTTTTGAATATTTTGGGGTTCACTTTGCGCTATACACTTTGCATGTTCTATAAGAACATGAAAAACATAATAAGATGAAAAACTTCTCCTAATAGGGAAAAAAAACTTTTAGAAAAAGAAACGGAAAAAAAAGTAATTTAACGTAAGACATTGATTTAGTCAACATTTATGCTTAGCAATAACATTTAGCAGATAACAGTAGGCATTTTTTATTGTTTGCGCTGTATTGTGAATGCATATGCTAAGTTGGGTTACTTAAGGACCGTCATGAGATTTAAACTTGTTTTCCACATTAAAGAATTAGGCAAAAGGGCTAAAGCTAACCATGCTATCAGGTCTAATTCGCTTGCCTTGAAGCAGTTGGCTGAGCGCAGTAGTTATCAAATTATTCTATGAGAACATTTTTATGCTCCCCAGCTTCCCTTGCTGTCACCTTATCAACAGTTGAACAAAGAATGTCAACCTCAGCAAATTACTAATTGCACTGAAATAAACAATTACAAACTCCACAAAACTGCCACCTTTTAAAATGTTATTATTTTAATATAAAACTTGCTGATCTTACTGTGCAACAGAATTCAATATAGTGACCAAGAACTAAAAAAACAAAAACTTAAAATGAGTAATTTATTCACTTCATTTCTATGAATCCTCCTGCAGTTACACTGGGCCCCCTCCTAGGTTCCCCCAAATTTAGGAACCTCTGGCCAAGTGAAAGGTATATTTTGCAACATTTAAAATCAACTGCAAACCAGTAATTGCATTAATAATAAATTATTATTATAAAATTAAAGTTATACCTACTTATCTCATGGTTCATTTCATTATTTCATGGGAATCCATATTTATGTATTTCAGGATATATATTTTATCCTCCATATACCTCAGGTTTAACATCACTCTGATTGTAAAAACCATCTTAACTTCTCCCACTGGGATTCTCGTTACCCTGCAGAGGTCCCGACCCCTACTTTAGCCAGCCCTGGTCTAAAGGAAGTGATGTTGCCTAATGAATAAACAAAAATGATGACTACCTGTCTTGGGAGCAAAGTTAGAGACAAGGTTGAATGCTGGATTTAAAGAAAGGAATAGGCCAAACTACAAATTGCTTGAGGAGAGAGCAAACAGCCAGACTAAATAGATGACTGCAGCTGTTGTTTATTAGCAGAACATGAATTTTTATTTTTCATGTATTGTTTTCTTAATATTTTAATTCTATTATGTATCTTTCAGTCAGTTGGTACCAATTAATAAATCGTCGACATCATAGTAAATCAATAACCATGTTAACTATATTCTATATTCCATGCCTAGATGGGGCAAAAGGAGAGAGTTTCCTATCATTCATTTTATGATAGATTGGTCAGTGTGTTATGAATAATGCCCAGGTTACCAACAAGCATCTCTGAACGCCCAAAATGTTTCTTCCAAGGTGACAAAATCCCCAACTCAGCACATGATTCTGTATTTTGTAGACAGACTCAGATTGTGTTCTGATAGGAAGGACGAGTGTTATGCAGCCAGGAGCAGTGCAGTACAGAACCAACAATCGTGCTGGGTCTGGGGTTAAAAAAGGTAGTAAAATAAAGACACACCTAGAGTTCTGCTACCATAGTTAGCACCCGGCCACCGAGAGACTGGACTGGAAGGGCTTTGATCACCTGTAACAATGTGGGCAGTTAAAGAAAAAAGGAAAGAAAAGGAAGGTGAAAAGGGAGGAGAGAAGAAATCCATCAGAGGTGACACATTTGAGATATTGGCATGACTAGTCCCAAAGCAAAAGAAAAATGGAAAAAATAGAAAACACACACACTACAGAAATGTGTGACAGAAAGAGACTGCAAAACCAAATCATACGAGGCAAATTTTAACACACTAGCATGAGAATGAGAGTATACACTTCTTATGAAATAAAAAATAAATAAATCAGCTGGTGTGTTTTACCCCAACACACAGAAAGAGTTCTCATCAGATGGCATGACAATTTGGTTTATGTTCTCCTGGTATGTTAACATGTACGTTTCAAAAAAAAAAAAAAAATCTTTAGCAGTGTAATTCAAAGAGATAATTTAGATCATCATCAGGAACAAAATGGACATATGAAGGAAACATTTAATTAAGTTAGTCTTTTACATAGAAATATAAACCTCTCCTTAATCAATACATAATACATAATTCATAATTCAGCGTTTTGCTGACAGACATTGTGGAAGATTTGGAACCACTGCACTTTTTATGTAAAGAAAGGACAAATAAATAGTAGGAAAGTCTTCAACCAGGGATATTTTAGCTTAATGTAAAAAAAAAAAAATAATAGAAAAGCTACAGACCTCTAAAAGCAGAGTACCAAAAAGGACTATTAATATTTGAGTATGTTCCTCCTATTTTATTGCTTTATGGGTTAAATACTCAATAAGAAGAGACCAATCTGCCTTAGAACATCAAATGCTAACATTTTAGGTCAAAAACTAAACAGTCTCTTGATGCTAATCGTTTTCATTCCTAAAGTGAGGATAGTTTTTGAAAAATAAGCAAATCTCTTCTTCTTGAAGAGCACTATGTGCCCAAATAGATATGATGTAAAGGCAAATGAGAAAGCTGTAGTTTGATGATATGATCCCACTGATTAAAAATCTAAGCTCAATCTCAACAATTAAAAGCTAAATTCCCCTCTTAGTCTCATCCCCCCATTGGTGTCTTGGTTATCTACTCTTATCTTCTGTTATTAGTGACGATATACAGAAGAAGGGGTCTGTGGCTCAGCTGCACAACTCTGACTTACATGTTGTTTGACCCTTACACTCCTGGAAAGCAGAGCTTTCCTGAACAAGGATCATTTGTTTAGGAATAGTCAAATAAGTTTAGAACAGGATTAAGCTAAATCAGCTTTGGTCATAATGCGGAAGAAATACTAGTTCAGAAATCCTTGAAAAGGTGAAAAGGGGTTGATGTGGTACAATCTTTGCATAGTGATGTAAAGTTTTCATAACGATGGTCAGAAGCAGAGTCAAATGCATATAAAAGCACCATGCGAAACAATAAGACAGAGAAAAAATCCTACCAGTTCTTGGTGTCCGTTTTCTCCGATTAAAGGCTGCTCCAGACTGCAGAGTTTCCATTAGTCTATCCATCACACCAGTTTCATCCCCTTCTGCAAGAGAACCAGAAAACAAAAGTTTTCATTGAGTATATAGTGATATCTTTACACATGCAGAGAACCTCCAACACCCTTGAAGGACTATAAGTCTAAGCCAGAGGAGGTCCTCTTTAACTGTACCAAAGGCAATGAACACATGGACAAAGAAAACATGATAGAAAACCAAGCTTTGGTTAGATCAGACCAAATGTAACTATTTGGCCAAAATACATCATGCCCACTGTGAAAACATAGTGGTAGGCAGCATCATGCTGTGGTAGCACGCTTTCTATATAGTAAGAAGGTCCTGGTTTCGAGTCCAGGCTCATGGTCTTTTTGCATGTTCTCCCCCTGCAGACTTGGGATCTCTCTGGATATGGCCGCTTCTAACCAAAGTGCAAGAAATTAATTCAATGGAAGTTAACTCATGACCTCACTTCATATAGCGGGATGAGAATCGATATGAGTGTGTGTATGTGGTTGGGCGTGTATTTCTTACATTTTAGAGATGATTTTACATAATTCATAGCACATCGCAGGGACCAAGTGGGTACAAATGCTGTTTAAGTCTTAGGTTTTAGGTTTAGGACTAAGGTGTGAATTGAGTTTAGGTTAGGGGTGACCTCGTAATGTTAGGTATAGGGTAGGGGTAATGGTTTGACTGTAAAAATGGGCTAGAAATGAATTAAAAGTCAATTAAAAGTCCTTACAAGGATAGAAAAATGTGATTGTGTGGGTGTGTATGTGCCTGTTTTTTCCCCTCTGTCTCTGTATTGGCCTTTGATTCACTGGCGACCTATCCAAGGTGCACCCTGCTTCTCGAATAAGAAATACTGCAGATAGGCACCCTAACTGCAAAATAAGTAGTTGTGGATGATGGATATTTCTCCTCTACTTCATACAAATGCATTACTTTTAGCTGTGTCTTTTTTACATTCTCGTACAAAATGCATTAGAGTCTTGTAATGGGACAAAATCTGAAAAAAAAAGAAGGAATGTATAGAAAGTAGTTCTGCAAGTCACTTTAACTACTTTCACAGTGAATATACCCTCAAGATTCTTTGCTACTGTTGAATTTGGAGAGAATTGTCTGCCACTCAGTTCAGTCAGTTTTTTTTTGTTTTTTTTTGTTTTTTAGCAAACAACTGTGGTGGAGTAAAACACACTTAGCTTAGGTTAGAGTTTAGTAGAGAGGAGCCTCAGGATAAAAGCATCGGGTGATGGTCATTGACAGATATTTTTTCTGTGGCTAACGCAGGGGGAGCTAAGTGCTCTTTACAAAGATTTAGTGTGGAGCCGCTCAATACCGAGGCTTTCTATTATTGTTCAGTCAATGACACTGGGACCAGGCTCCAAAAAACACTCCTTCTGCCCACCATTTCATCTGTCCTGTGGATCCATGAAACCAGAGAAGTGAAGGCAGTCAACATTAGGCCATTTAAAGTGCTGTGGCAGGACTAGATGCGCCTATATTGTGCACATACAGCTCTGCTCAGTAGTCACAGAGTTCAAAAATATGCTTAAGCTTCATATCTAGGTCATCTATCTTTGCGCTCACATACTAATGAGCTAGAGGGGCAACCTTTTCATCATTCTGGAGTAGAATAGACATTATTTTAAATATAGGATCATTAGGGTGAGTTATGTGAACCTGGACATTTGGCAATCAATTCTTTTGCATGTTTGAGTAAACTAGCTCTTCCCCAATGTTTTACAAGCTTTTGTTTGTGGCTTCTTTGAGGAGCCAGAGGGAAATTCAGAACATAGGGCAATCTGGAGAAAAAAAAAAAACACTACAGTAATCAAACCTTTTTGTTTCAACGAGAGAAAAATAATGCAAAGTAGTTAATTAGATTAAAGTATTTTCCAGGAGTTCATCTTTCTTAACTAACAAACTAACAAAAACAACTGGCAAATTAAATATTGATTTCTATTTAAGGTTTTCACATTATTTTTACTTTGCCTTTTGTTTAAAGTAAGTTGAAGACAAAGCTGTTAGTGCTTGGATCAAATACATCACAAGAAGCTAAATAATTAAGCTTGAGTGAGCACTAAACAGGCATGATATCTTACATGTCTGGTCAAGTTCAATTCATAACACAAATGTCACAATGGATGATGCTCGACTATTTTTGCTTACAGGTAATGGAAATGCCAAACTCAGTTTCTGGAAAATAATTAAGTGAAAATCAAAAAAAGATTTTAATTAAGAGATATAGGCATTTCAAAAACATATCAAGTCCTGTACAGAATATGCTTTCCAAATACGTATGCTCATCTTGTATGACTTATTGCATCAATGGGGCAGGGCATGGAGTGGCTCAGCTTAGAGGTTAAAGTAGCTTGTGCTGCTTTAATAAGGGTCCTTCTCTCATCTGTAATGTTGCTCTGGTGTCTCATCTTTTTCCTCAAAACACCTCATAGATTCTCCAAAGGGATTTTGGTCATTTGAGTGTGTTGGTCAATCAAACACATTAAAATAGTCATTAAAGCAGGCATTGATGCTTTTCAAATGTGGGCAATTCACCAATCCTGTGGGGGAGTGAAATCAGACCTTTCCATGAAGGCTGTTCAACACCAAGAAACCAGTCTTTTGTCTAATTAGACAATGCATAGTGCTTTGTAAATTCTCTGCACATATTCTATGGTTCAGCAGCTTCTTAAGACAGGAATGACCGGTTATTTTTGTTCTTCTCAGCTTTCCTACAATATACGTGGTATAGCCAGCTTTTTACACATCTTTTTGTGACTTACTCTCCCTTTGAAAGGTGTTAATAACCGTCTGTGTGACACCGACATATTAGGCCATAATATGGATATAATATACAGTTGCATTTATGTTTGCTTTTCTATTATAGTTATGACATTTCCTCATTACCAGAATTGTAGTTTTTTACAAGCTGCATATCAGAGATACATTAACAGAAATAAGACCTTAACTATTGCTTTGTGTTAAATAAACCTGTATCACAGTTTACTTTTTTATTTTAATAAACTTTTTAATACTATTTATAGTTGTCTGTTTTGTTTTCAGCAGAAGAATCTGATGGTGCAGCAGTTAAATATTGAAATAAAATGTAAGGATCAGATTGCATCGGTTTTTTTTGACAACATGGCTTACTACTGAGCATTTTGAATAAAGAAATTTGGTCAACCCAGTCTGGCTTCTTAATAAAGCACTTCCATATGTCTAATTGGAGACAGATTTTCTTCATACTGAAATATGACTAAATTGATATGCTGCAGAGATAATAAGTAAACTTCTTTAAGAAGGCATTTGATTATAAATGTGTATGATGAGGAACATAAAAAAAAAAACATATTGATTAACTCGAATCAGCTGCCTGTTGGACGTTATTAGAGTGATGTTGCATATAAAAGTCATCAGAAAAGTTTGGTTTTATCTTAGTAAAAAAAAAAAAAAGATTTAGAGCATAGCACAAAAGCAAAAAAATTATGAACTGCATAAAACGTGACAAACTATATCTGATGCGATTGCAATGTTTTTCAGAAAAAGAAATGTTGCACATAGCTTCCATGAAACAACACATTTTCCCATTACTTTCGAAATGGCGCCTGCAACTGTTGTTTCATTTAACAGCTACAAACCACCCAACCAACAATCACTCACACAAGTAAGAGAAGACAGAGCAACTAAGAATAGAAACATGTCTTATGCAAATTTTAAAAAAGCAACTCTTAAGACGCCCTCACTAATTTTACTCTCTATCTCATTTCCTTCCTTTCTTCCTCAAGTCCTTCCCAAGGGCTACTTTGAAATCAAAGAAGCTGTGTGCTGTGCTTAAAAGCAATCCTGATTAAATCAAGCTTAATTAGACCAGCTTTATCTGAACAAAACCAGAGCAGAGCAAAGTAGTGCTTATCTCAAATTGCAGCACTACACCTCAGATAGCGAGCTGGTTGGTAAAAAAAGAAAAAAAAAGAAAAAGAAGGGTAGGGCACGAGGTTTGTCTCCAGTGGACCTGAGGAGCAAAGCAGCGAACAACTTGCTGTTCTATAACTATATCAGCTCCCAAGATCTTTAGTAGCTCGTCTGTATGTAGGCTACCTACGACAGATTGGGAGTCTGACAGAAGGCAGAACCTGTTAAGTGCCAGGTAAACATTCATCTGCAACAACTGTGTACAAGAAACTTCTTGACAGCTCCTTCTTCACGTAGACCCGAACATCACAGGGGGCACCTGACACTTTGATCAATTTGTCCTACTTCCAGCTCAACTCCAGCACAATTCATCATTCGTAATGGCCAAGACTTCGGAGCACTTCTAGACTGAGGTTCAGGGGGGAGCAAGTCTGCAGACACGAGGAACCAAAATGACTAAAATTGGAAGCTCACTCCCCAGTTACGTCTCAGACCTCAATTAACTATTTTCCCAAGTTGTCTGAAGCTTTAAAGTTAAGAAACTCTCACAAATATGTTTAATTTAAGAAACTCTTTACAGAACATCCAATGAATCAGTGTAAATAGAATAAAGGGTTAGACTGAAATAAAATATTATTTAATAACACATAATCTAGTAATTCTAATCTCAAACTTTCCTAATCACTCCTCATACCATGCCCACTTTAGCTGACATGTCAGTTTTGTTCTTGAAACTAACTTGCCTTATTTTGAGTGAGCAAACCTAAACCAAATAATAGTCTCACTCTTATTACCAGCTGCAGTACATTGCATGATGAGGAATTACAGAAAAGCTAACCTTTTTGCACCTCCAGATCTTTCTGAAGAGGAAATATCCCTCTTTGCTCGCAGGAAATTGCTTTCTAAATGGGTTAAGATGGGCTAAGACCCAGGACATTGACAAACCCTTCCGGTGATGAAACACCTCAGTGGGGACCCTTAGCAAGTCAGTCTGAGGTCTTTTAATGATCTTAATAAAGCTTGTGGCAATGGGGAAGATGGTTAATTTCTTAAACACTTAAACCTTTTAGAGGAGAAATAAAACTCTGGGAAGTTTTACTGCCCTTAACAGTTTCATATCTTTTCTCCTGAT